TACATAATACTCACTTTCTATTTTCGTTTCTTATTTCTATACACAACAATCACTTTCGATTTTCTCTTCTTATTTCAATACACAACATTCACTTTCTATTTTCTCTTCTTATTTCAATACACAACACTCACTTTCTATTTTCTTTTCTTATTTCAATACACAACACTCACTTTCTATTTTCTCTTCTTATTTCAATACACAATACTCACTTTCTATTTTCTTTTCTTATTTCAATACACAACATTCACTTTCTATTTTCTCTTCTTATTTCAATACACAATACTCACTTTCTATTTTCTCTTCTTATTTCAATACACAATACTCACTTTCTATTTTCTCTTCTTATTTCAATACACAATACTCACTTTCTATTTTCTCTTCTTATTTCAATACACAATACTCACTTTCTATTTTCTCTTCTTATTTCAATACATAATACTCACTTTCTATTTTCTCTTCTTATTTCAATACATAATACTCACTTTCTATTTTCTTTTCTTATTTCAATACACAACACTCACTTTCTATTTTCTCTTCTTATTTCAATACACAATACTCACTTTCTATTTTCTTTTCTTATTTCAATACACAACATTCACTTTCTATTTTCTCTTCTTATTTCAATACACAATACTCACTTTCTATTTTCTCTTCTTATTTCAATACACAATACTCACTTTCTATTTTCTCTTCTTATTTCAATACACAATACTCACTTTCTATTTTCTCTTCTTATTTCAATACACAACATTCACTTTCTATTTTCTCTTCTTATTTCAATACACAATACTCACTTTCTATTTTCTCTTCTTATTTCAATACACAATACTCACTTTCTATTTTCTCTTCTTATTTCAATACACAACACTCACTTTCTATTTTCTCTTCTTATTTCAATACACAACACTCACTTTCTATTTTCTCTTCTTATTTCAATACACAATACTCACTTTCTATTTTCTCTTCTTATTTCAATACACAATACTCACTTTCTATTTTCTCTTCTTATTTCAATACACAATACTCACTTTCTATTTTCTCTTCTTATTTCAATACACAATACTCACTTTCTATTTTCTCTTCTTATTTCAATACACAATACTCACTTTCTATTTTCTCTTCTTATTTCAATACACAACATTCACTTTCTATTTTCTCTTCTTATTTCAATACACAATACTCACTTTCTATTTTCTCTTCTTATTTCTTCTTAAGTTTAATTCTATAAACCTCGTTCAGTGATCTTTCATCACTTTGTTGTTACATTCTTTTGGGATATTGGGATACCTAGATACAGAATCATTAGTTACCTAGCTTTTGTATAGTCAAGTCAGTTTGTACTTTCACCAAATTGATGTGTTTGAATTTCATATGGTAATCTGGATTCTATTGAATATAGTTTAGAGGTATGTTAAAGTGTTTTATAAGTTTAAGTATAAAATTAAAGAATATTATTAGTAATTATAGTAAGTTTTCATAAAGTAACCATATTTTTATATTTGTAAGATAAGTTCTATTTATAGAAGTCAATTACATAAGTGTTTTAATTTTAGTTATTTGAATTAATGTCCTGTTTCAGGAATAAGTTGTGTGGTTATAATAATAAGGTGTTATAGTTATATTCATCTTTAAACTCCACTTGGGGTAAAAGTTATTTACAACCTATGTATTATAAATGTATATCACGTTGCATAATTATTTATTTCAAATATTAATGCATTAGGTTTAGTATTATATACAGTTGGCAATTTCGTTTATTGTAAAGATTTGTATTTTATTTGTATTTGTTATATTTTATAATTGTATATTATTGTTATATTTGTGTATTGCAGGGTTTTTGATTTCTGTTTTCACCTATAATAAAACTATAAAAGAACCCTGTCTGGTTATTTAAACTACCCCAGGCCACCCTATAACACGTATATATATTTTATAATTTCACACTAGCATTAATCATATATTATTCATGATATGCTGCCATGTAATCTCTTCATTTTAATTTTTCACATCACCAGTGTTAATTACAACCATTATTTTTATCACTATCACTATTCAATTTCTTCATATTTTATCTTTTTTTCACTTCAATTACATAATACTAATTTGTTATCTTCGTGGTAAAGAAGCTCCATGATTTAGCTTACTGCTTTTATGAATGTTATAATATATAAGGATTTTCATACAATTATACAAATAACTTATTAAATTGTAAGTACATTTAGAAAATTTTAATTTTTAACCCTAATGAAAGACTATGAATATATTGAACACAAAAGATCCCAAAGCATAAAAATTCAAGATGGCTGCTGTTGCTTAAAATACCATGGTTACATTTATACAAAATATAGTGTCCCAGAAAGACAATTACCCAATAAAATAGCAAAACACACATACCTGTAAAGTTATTAGAAGACAATAACTAGTGATGAAAAAGAATAAAGAAGAAGTAGATATTCAGTATTTCAAGGAGGTTGAAATATACTTCCTTCTTCTTTAAAGACTTAGGTAAAAGTAAAGTTTCTGACTGGACAGGTGATGAAACTCACTGAAAACTCACTCAGTTGGCCAATGACAGAAGGTGACAAGGTCCAGTGAGATCAGTTGAGTTAAAGAGACTAAGAGAGGGCAATAATTAGTTAATAGTATAAGGCCAGTGTAATGTAAATAGATGTTTATAAAAACAGTAGTGGTGTATTTAGAGAAGATAACAAATAAATAAAACAACCAAGTTTCTTCAAAAATACACCCTATCACAGATACACCTGTGCAACAAAAGGATAAACGTCCGCTTGAGAGCCCAGGAACTCCATCGCTAAATCACAAACAGTCCAAGATTTCTAGTAGTCCTCAATTTACACAATTGGCAGAGGATGATATAACAGGACTATTAAATTCTATATTTAAACTGTTAGTATGTGTTAGAGATGACCAAGAAATATTAAAGGACGTTTTAAATCAAAAAAATGGACAATTTAAAAACGGAGATTTTGACAAAAATTAACGACAAAATAAACTCGGTCAAGGTTGTCATGAACTTTGAAATATGTGAAGTTGATAAACGAATTGACGTGCTAAGCAACGAACTGACTATAATTAAGACTTTGGTGAATACGAAACTTGTTGAGAACAATAGTCAAACAATTGTTGTGCATAATTTGAAAAATGTGACGAGTGAGGCACTTCCGACACAGGTGAAACGGCTCATTGATTCATTAAATATCAATGTGGATATTAAAGAGATTGAAAGATTGATTTCCAGAACAACTCACAAACCCGGTATCGTTCAGATTGCATTCCAGACTTCTGCTCACAAAATTGACGTTTTACGGAACAAGCTTTCACTACAACAAATAGATGAATTCAAAGACGTCTATATTCAAAGCAGCAAATCTCACCATGAACGTACGCAGAGTTTAACACTAGAACTAGGTTAAAAGGATTACCCGATGGTTATCTCTACCGAGTGAGTGGTAATGGTCGAATCGTAAAACGAAATGATAGTGTTAATGATGAACACAACCGATCGACTACTCAAGCATGAAGCGAAAACACTCGGCCTCGAACGTGAAACGTTAACGGTTGGGTTGCCCGGAATCACGAATTACGAGAGAAACTTATAACATTTGACAACTCTGATATTATCTGTGTGAATGAAACCCATCTTCAAGTTCATAAAACTATAGACATAAAAAACTATCGTTTTTATCCATTCAATAGAGAAAGCACTGAAATTAAAGCCCCAAAACATTCAGGAGGGGTAGGCATATTCGTACATACACGAATTTTGAACGGCTTCAAAACTGTTGTCATAGATAAATCAATGAATATTAGGGTTATCGTTCGAACATAAATATACCAACTTAAAGTTTGTGCTGTTTAGTGCATATTTACCACCTGAAAATTCACAATGGGGTAGGGACGCGGGCGTTTTCTTTTCTCATCTGATTAGTCAAATCTACTTATTGTCAGATTACGATGCTATATTCATCTGTACCAGGATGGGAGAAAACAACAATTGTATAATCGGGATTGATCAAAATGTGCCGTCTAGAACTGCTGTTGACATGACTGTGAACCAACATGGTAGAGATTTTCTTGAATTTCTTTCAGATACTCGATTCTGTGTATTGAATGGGCGATTTGGTGATACTTTCAGCTCAGTTAGTCCAAAAGGTAAATGAGTAGTAGATTATATAAGTGTACCACATGACTATTTTAAATCATGTTCAAACCTTACGATTACCTCCCCGTACTATATTGCACACAGTGAAACATGAACACACGTAATAAATCACAGATCACGTTTGCCAGATTATTACCTGGTCTCCTTTGACTACTCACTAGCTATTAGTGGATTAATCAATCATAATAAACCCGAAACCCCCTCAAAAGATGGTATAAAATCTGTAAAATATCAACTTGATAAGATACCGCTCTGTTTACTGGAATCAGAAGGTTCACGGTAGGCGCTACTTAATATTATCAGTGATATTGAAAACTACCGCAAATCACAATTAGGAATTGACGAAATATATTCTGATTTCTGTCATATTATGATTTGTGAAATAAATAACTGTATACCTAATTTTGATTGTTCAAATCGTACTCGCAAACGATTTAAGATAATTAAACCCTTCTGGAATGATGAATTGACGGATTTATGGCAAAAATTACGCACAAATGAAAGATCGTCTGTAAAATCGAAAGGCTCAACATGCGAAAAAAACGCACTACACCAGGCCTTCAAACAATCAAGAGACAACTTTGATAAATGCTTAAGACGTAATGAGCGGCAATACCAGAGAGATCTTATGATCGATCTTGAAGAGGCCCACGTCCATGATCCGAAGAAATTTTGGCAACATCTTAAGAGTCTTGGACCGAAGCGCAAATCAGATTTACCTTTCGAAGTTTACGGTGATAATAATGAGATTCTTACAAATCGCGAGAACATTTAGAGAACGACGACATTCTTGTTGATGAACAGAATGGTTTTAGGCCGAATAGATCATGCCAGGATGACGTATTTGTTGCCAATTCATTGATCAAAACTAGATTATTATCAAAACAACCTACATTCTCATGTTTTGTCGACATGCGTAAAACTTTTGATGTAATTCATAGGGAATATTTACTGCATAAACTTCTGCAAAATGGTGTGAATTAACGGTCATTTCTATGATTCTATATACATGGACACATCAGCATGTGTGCGAGTGAACGGATGTTTAACAAATTGGTTCGAGTGTTCTTCAGGTGTTCGCCAAGGTGACAACCTTTCACCAACATTGTTCTCAATTTATATCAATGACCTTGCAACTGGCTTGAAACAATTAAATAAAGGTATTGACATTAACGGTAGAAATGTTGGTGTCCTCCTATACGCAGATGACATTTGCTTCTCGCTTCAAATGAAACTGATTTACAATACATGCTTAATCATGTAAGTGACTGGTGCACCAAATGGAGATTATCAGTTAATCCAAGTAAATCAGCAATTGTTCACTTCAGACACAAACGCAAACCAAGAAGCAAGACAGAATTCAATATAGGCGACGATGCAATACAATATGTTTTATCCTATAAATATCTTGGCATTATAATGGATGAATACCTTTGAGGATTGTACCACCACACTGTCACAATCTGCAAGTCGTGCACTAGGTGCTGTTATATCGAAAGTACATGGGCTCAAATCCGTTGGTATAAAATCTTACACATACTTATTTGAAAGTTGTGTTCTTCCAATTTTAGAATACTGTTCAGGAGTATGGGGTTTTAAGAAATTTCCAAAGATAGAACAAATTCAAAATCGTGCTATAAAATATTTCCTGGGTCTCCATGGGTTTTCACCAAAAGCCGCACTAAACGGAGATTTGGAATGGCTGCCTCCACATGTAAAACGATGGTTTAATATGTTGAAAATGGGGAATAGGATCATTTCAATATGACAGTTTGCTTACAGATTGAATATGATTATCAATGTGATAATGGAAACTGGTGTTCAGATATAAAATCAGTATTTCTCAGTGTAGGCGGAGGTCATATATTTAGAATATAAACTAACTTGTAATATCGATGATATGAAACAGAAACTTTTTACTCTGTACAAAACTGAGTGGACAAAAAAAATTTGCTCAATATCAAAATTAAGAACGTACGTGACAATTAAATCTGAACCTTATATAAATATTAACCTTAGTAAAACTGAACGCCCTCATCTTGCTCAATTACGATGTTGGTATAACCCAAAGCACTGCGACTGTGGTCTGTCTCCGTAAACAACTGTTCATTATTTTTTTGAGTGTGGGTTATATGATACCGAAAGAAATGTCTTACTTGCTGCAATAAGTAGCCGCTATACTGTTATAGACCTGTCCTTATTACTATGGGGAAATCTTTCCATTGATTCAAACTCTGATTCTAATTCCAAATTATTCAAACTTGTTCACAAATACATCAAATCTATCAAATGTTTTGATAGTAATGGAACAGTTCAGTCATAGTCAAGATAGTTTGTTCACGTATCACATCTATTTGTTGTTTGTTTACACTTTATTCATACTTATCAAGTTTTACTATTCTTATCAAGATTATAATATAATGATTTATTTATGTCTTTTGTCTATTTTGTTTTTGTAAATATCTATTTGTAAATCTCTATTTGTAAATCTCTATTTAGAGATTTGTAAATCTCTATTTGTAAATCTCTATTTGTAAATCTCTATTTGTAAATCTCTATTTAGAGATTTGTAAATCTCTATTTGTAAATCTCTATTTGTAAATCTCTATTTAGAGATTTGTAAATCTCTATTTGTAAATCTCTATTTGTAAATCTCTATTTGTAAATCTCTATTTGTAAATCTCTATTTAGAGATTTGTAAATCTCTATTTGTAAATCTCTATTTGTAAAGGAAATAGCGTTTTCTAAGTTCTATAACTTGTGCTGAATTCGATTGTAAAATATTTCAATAAAATATGTTTAAACTATAACTTGTGTTCCTATTTATAATAAATCCATTCAAAGCAAAGACATTCTAAGACTAACAGTAACATTGTCAGACTGATTCCAATTCTCATCAAAATAATTACAAAAATTTAATGTTCAACTTGCACAGACAGACAATGGGTCTAAATGACCCCTGAAAAAAGTCAAAATGGTCCTGCCTATGAAAAAGTCAAAATGGTCCTGCCTATGAAAAAGTCAAAATGGTCCTGCCTATGAAAAAGTCAAAATGGTCCTGCCTATGAAAAAGTCAAAATGGTCCCATCATTAATTTTTTGAACTAGTCTTATGATAATTGTGGCTTACATTGTGATGAAATATGAAATTGTCCACTATAAGATATGATTCTGTTTCATAACACCGATATTTTATCTGTATTATTATCTATATAATCAGTTAATTAAACGTACAATATATTGTCTCCGTATTATAATGAATATTATATAAAGGTTTTTGTCCATTCCCTTGAATTATTGAAAATAATACTTAAGAAATGTCAGGTTGAAAGAACCGACATTCACATGTAGTGATGAAGGCCAAGATTTGGAGAATGAAGAAGAGTATGTTGGACCAGACTGTATGTTAATTACAAGCAGTGTATCCGAGTTGGCTTCAATAAAGTACCATGACAAGGTTGAATTTACTGTTCACAAAATGTTAAATAAAGACATACAGACCGACATGGTTGGGGTGTCCTGTTCTACTCAGACAGAAGGGACTAGTTCAGTTTCAATTTGAAAGTGTAGTGTTTCAACACAAACACACTTTGTAATTCCATTATGTCAAAATCAACCTCTGAAGTTGGAGTACAAGTTAACAAACTATGGAAGACATTAAAAGTAATGAGATGTGTATGTTTTATACAGGTTTAGCAAATGTGGAAACTTTTAATTTACTTTTTGATGAAATGGATGATGTAGAGAGTCACACAAATAGATGCGGAAATGGAGAAAACAAGGGCCTGCCAAGATCACTGCGTCTTATTGATGAATTCTTTTTTTAGTTTTAATGAGATTAAGATTAGGACTTCTCCTTGAGGACTTAGCAAGGTTCAATATGTCGAAATCAACCTGTTCAAACATAACATACATGAGTGTTAAACTTTCTATATTAGTTGCTTGGCCATCCAGAAGGACATTCAAAGAAACAATGCCACAAAAGTTGAAAAGGAAATACCCGAACTGTCGCATAATTATTGACCGCACTGAGTTCTACACAGAAACCCCACAAACACTCGCTAACAAGTCAATGATGTATTCACACTAAAAGTCACATAAGACCTGGAAATCACTACTAGGAATAACGCTTGTTTCGGACCTATGGAGTGGAAGCATTAGTGATAAACAGTTAACTATAAAGTTAGGACACCTCGATTGATATGAAGCTGGTGATGGAATAATGGCTGATAAGGGCTTCCTCATATCTGATTTGACAACACCACGCGGCATCCATCTGATTATTCCACCCTTAAAATTACAAAAGTTCAGCCGTCGACAAGTTGAGGAAACAAGGAGAATTGCAAACTTGCGAATTGATGTAGAACGTGCTATGGAAAGAGTAAAAAAACTTTAGAATTTTGCAAGGTGTAATGCCTATAACAAGCATCAAAAATACTGAAAGTTTGTGTTGCTCTGTCAAATTTGTTGTCACCATTAGTATATGATGAAAATTGAATATGATCATTGTTAAAAGTTAGTCCTGGGGAATATTTATATTATATGAATGTAAGATCCTATACATACTATTTAACGCTGCACTCCCTTTAAACAGATTTACTATTTTTTTAATTTTTGGTGTGGAAAGAGCTTAGTTTTTTGTGAATATCTACAAACCAGTGTTAAAAGTAGATTGTTGACAAACAATCAGACCGTATATTTTATATTGTGGTCAAGTTTGATGTTGACAATTTTTCGATGAATATTTTTTGAGTTTTTGCCCTTGTAAAGTTGCATGAAAATGAGCTAATGGGGATATTAGAAGCTACAATTTTTAATGGATTTTGATGAAGTTTTGCGTTTAATGACGTCACTAAGTGTGATCTACCGGAAGCTACTATTGACATCTATGCAGTTCACTATTAGTGACATCAAAACGTGTTAGTTTTTTGTGGAATTGGAAGAACCATATATGTTGGAGTGGAAATCGGAATAGCGCAAAATACACAGTTTAGAAAATCAATTTACAATCCCTTTAAGTGCCACCAAATTATTAAATGTAACAATAACATGCAAACATCAATTTTGTTTTAATAAACTGTTTCATTTTTTGTCCATTTACACATTTGAATCTCAATTAGAACTGTATACTTTAATAACATTAAGTCTTTACCACGTTAGACACGCTCTGTGAACAATTCTGGTATGACAGCCTTTATATAAAAACTGTTCAGTTTACCTAACATGTCAACCCAAAATCCATTATCAAAATATACTCTCTCTAAACTATGACACTTCAAAGTCCACACAAAAAAATCGCACCATTTTCTTTCTGTTAGGGCAATTTGACCTTGAACTTAGAAATAGTAGTTATGGTTACTTTGCCATGCACTACCGAACAACAAAATGTTTTGTCTACACAGGCCTCGTCTGGTGAACAGTTTCTAACTTTATATTGGCATTTAATCTCTAAGACCCCCTTTCTTACAACATTCTACTATTCCATCTGGGCTTGATTCCAAGTGTGGTAGACTTTTCTTTACGACAAGGCCAGATGAAAAGAGTTTCAGCCCGGGGTGAGTTACTTGAATACGCCTATGGTACACAAGCTTGGCAGCCGGTTCATGGCTCCTGCCCCATTTAGTGGCTGCAGTTTCAAATTCGTCATTGTAGCCCATAATAGATCGTAACAAGATATCAGGTTTTGTTTCAGGTATTTTCTTACAAATAGTTCCAAAAGCCTGCCAGCCCTTGCATCTTTCCAATGGTAACTTTTATGTTGAGTTTTCAATAAGAAAACAGTCGTCCTGCTTACAGTTTGATTTAAAATATGTTTCAAAATTATTTTTGCACATTGAACTTTTTAAGTCAACACCGTCTTTGTAAAAAGAAATCCACAAAATGGAGCTTGGGTAGCACTGGGGTTGGTTCTTTTAGTTTTGGTGCAACAAGTTCAGAATCACTCAACAAAAAAGCAGCATGTGGAGCACATTTTTCAAGTTTTTCCCCAAATGTTAATGGTTGCAGGATTCCCCCTCACTGAAACATGGTTGCAGGATTCCCCCTCACTGAAACATGAAAAGAAAAGTTGTAAGAGTATGATAAAAAATTTGCATTATTCATTGCAACTTATAAAATTCAAAAACCTGTAAAGTGACATTACAAGTTATTTGTTGATGGACACCCGCTGGACCCTTCGATTTGTAATTCAAGTTCAGGCTTTTCTTATGACAAAAACTTTGACCAGTCGAAATTCCATTGCATAGTCAGCTATATCCTTATACAAATATGTGTTAATAAAAATTTCATAAGGCAAGTTTTTAAGTTTAATAATACTTACGATTTTCTGCTGTTGGCTTGTCTACAAGTGCCACCTGGTTGGAAGACAACAACTCCGCTGCATGCCTTTTTCTTGGCCAATATTCCTTCAAATCTTCATTTATTGAATCAAACATCTCCGCCCCACCCACGGCAATGGCCTCCAACATGGAATTCACCGATGTGTCGGCCTTTTCCATCAGTTTATCTTCCATTTTTTCTTGCATTTCTTTAATTTCTTCTCGTACCTTCTTGAATTCATCTCCAATTTCTGATTTAAAATCTCTAATTGTGTTTAGAACTGTATTTTTCAACGCTTCCATTTTACATGAAATGTCTTCCATTAAGTCTTCCATACTGAAAGGAGGAAATATTGTATATTATTATAATTACAAAGAGATATGAAATAGAAATAAATTAAAACTCTTCTTGTCTTGAATTATATTTGAGTGAAAGAGCTAATATCTAAATCAATGTGGACTGTTGTAAAGCAAAGCGATGTTAATGACATAACAGAATATTAAGGGCTAAACTATAGTCCTGTTTAATAACCGGTGTTACCTCCCTTGCCAAATTATCGTTCGTAGTTGACGTCAACTTCCGGTGAGCAAAGAAAATGGCGTCGAATAAAGAGGTCGGTGATACGTGTCAATTTAATAAATTATCAGTGCGTGAACTGAAGATTTATTTACGAGATAGAGGAGCACATGTGTCAAAAAATAGACCAGAGTTAATAAAACGTGCTCGAGGCATTGTACAAATCGGAAAACGGACATTAAAAGAGATTAATATTCAGGACAACAACAAACTTGAACGACAGGAAGAATTATTGACCACTCTGCTGGGTGAAAAATTGTCAGGAAGTTTAAAAAGTTGTTGGGAGGACGATGTGCTAAAAATTCCCTTCTTCAGGACGGAGGATATTAACAATTACCTTGTGTTAAACCGTTCACGCACTTTTGACAATCAGAACATGAATGCGAGAAAACAATTAAAAGCCAAAGTGATCTACGAAGATAGTGTGAAGTACAATCAGATATCACCTAAATGTTCCCACTGCTACGTAAGAGCAAATAACTTGTAATGTCACTTTACAAGTTTTTGAATTTTATAAGTTGCAATGAATAATGCAAATTTTTTATCATACTCTTACAACTTTTCTTTTCATGTTTCAGTGAGGGAACCGTGATCAGCTACCAAAGACCTCCTTTAACCAAGCCCAGAAATTAATCGCCACAGCCAATAAAACCTTGCCAAACTCCTCTTCATATGTATACCCATTTCAAATAAAATCTCGAAGAAAGCACAACAGAACCTCAGCACTCTCAACAACATGATATGGAGTCCAGTATCAACAGCGCAACAATCTTACCACCCTACGAAGAAGAATTCGAACCAGTTGATAATCTTCATTGGTGTCCAGAAACAGCAAACAGCATCTATTTGTTTTGGATACTCCAGCTTCAAGCATCGAGTAAGTCTTTAAACTAATTACTGGGGATAAAAATACTGAAAGGCCACTGCTAGGCCAAACTGTAGTTAACTTGAGCCGCAAAATTCTCACACCCCTTCAGCATTCAATCTTAGACCGTGGACTTAAGTTTATTCCCACACCAAAGATAGCCAACTTGAATTATCTCCGAACATCCATTGAACGATTTCAACGAAATCTTAGCTGCACATATTTTTTTCTAAACCAACCCCAAGGTGGTGCTAGAACCATGTTTATTCCTAAATCCACGTGGACACCCCCTCAGACCGCCATCCACCCTGAAATATTGAAAGCATTTGCGAGTATGAATAGCCAAACCGTGAACCTTTCCATAACACACGAAAAGCCTAATCTCACACGAATGGAACGTGAAGCGTTAAACTTACTTAAGAAAGACGATAGCATTGTTATTAAAAAGAGTGACAAAGGTTCATGTTGTGTCATTCTGAATAGGGAGGATTACGTTTCAGAAGCAGAGAATCAACTGAATAATCCTAAACATTATGCCATTTTACCGAAACCAATTTTCATAGAAACTGCTAACATGATTAATAATATTCTTGCCGATTTAGTCAAAACTAGTTATCTCAAACAGAAACAATATGACTATCTGTCTGCCAAACCTGATTGTCGCGAGAGACATTTGTACACTTTGCCTAAAATCCATAAGAATCCAACCAAGGAGTGGTTTACCTCGAATAAAATTCCTAAAGGCCGCCCGATTATATCTGACTGTGGTAGTGAGTCATGTGCAGTGTCAGAATTCATTGATCATGTGCAGAAACAAATAAACTGGATATTAAAGTGTATTTCAAAGAAACTGATACTCATCAACTCTTGCACAAGAGCTCCTTTCACCCAAAACATACCTTTTCTGGTATAATTAAGTCACAAGTTTTACGATTTCATCGAATTTGTACAAGATCTTCTGATTTCAACCAAGCCTGTACGATTGTTTTCTCAAAACTGAAAGAGCGTGGGTACTCTAAACGATTTTTACGAAACATGAAAAATTCCACCTTAGCACAGATAGCAGCTAAAAACAGACTTTATGCCGAAGTGGTTTAAGAATTGCTCCATGTTTGTCCAGTAGATGTCCCTTTATATCAGAAACTCATTATTTTGTAAGCAACTCTACGAATAAAAGGTACCCGATCCAGGAACATCTAACATGTGAACATTCGAATGTAATATATTTAATTTCATGCAAGAAATGCCCCAAACAATATGTAGGAGAAACTAAGAATAATTTACGAACTCGTTTTAATGCTCATAGTTCAGACATCAAATTAAAGAAAGACAAGCCTGTTTCTAATCATTTCAACCTCGACGACCATTCAATAGACGATCTCGCCCTAATCCCAATTGAGCGTATAGAAATTGACTTGCTCGAAGATCAAACTACCAAATTCCATCAATCTAGGGAAGCCCATTGGATTGAGACACTGAATACAGCAAGACCCATAGGACTAAATATTCATCATAATGTTGGCATAGCACCCTTTGTTGTCCCGTTTAATACAACCAGCAATCGAGCAAGCAAGATAGTTCATGCCCACTATAAGAGCCTTCAAGAGAAATTCCCCCATGTCTATAAGCAGAAAATGATAGTTGCATATTCAAAAAATAAGAACTTAAATGATAATATTGTTCATAGTAAACTAAAAACAATCAGTACATAACAGATACTATACTTCTCGCCCATCGGGCGAGTTATTTTTTCTAATTTCAGATCAGAATAAGAACAGAAGAAAACCCAATATCAAGACCCTTAATCCTAATTTCTAAATAAAGTGTCTGCTCCACCCTAGGCCTGTACATTTGGGAGAATCAAACCCTCCCTTCCCCGAAACCTAATCTTACCAGTCGGGGTAAATTTGGCAGTGAACTAAACTAGACGGTCTGGGTTAATTTGGCAGCTATTGTGAGAAATATTTGATGATTCAGTTTCCACTTATTTTTTTTATTTTTTTTGGCAGTAACAGTCGCCAGAGTTTCTGTTCTTAGCTAAAAAATCGTTACGAGGTAGTATTTTTTTTCCCTTTGTTAATCCCGTCTCAAATATTTGCTAATTGAAAATAAAATTTGAAACACTCTGAAATTTTTTTTTTTTAATTCAGAAACAAGAAGAAATAATAAGATTGATGGACGTGCCCCATTTCAGTAATATTATCAAATTTTGGTTACAATTTTTAGTCTCTATTGTAAATTGTGAGGTAGTGAAAACTAATGTTGATTTCTGATCAAATAGGGAATTGTGGGGCAGTGAAAACTAATGTAGATTCTGATCAAATAGGGAATTGTGGGGCAGTGAAAACTAATGTAGATTCTGATCAAATAGGGAATTGTGGGGCAGTGAAAACTAATGTAGATTCTGATCAAATAGGGAATTGTGGGGTAGTGAAAACTAATGTAGATTTCTGATCAAATAGGGAATTGTGGGGTATTGAAAACGTGTTTTCCGGGCAAAAATCTCATAACTAAGATAGAAATTGGGGCAAATTCAGATATTTTATTTCTATTCTTACCGTCCGCTCATATCAAAGCTAAACTTGGAAAGGTCTTATAGACCCGGACTACTATTAGATATAACTGGTAATCCGTGTCTACCTTTAAAGACGAATTAAGTTGATATTTGAACCGCCGAGGATTATCGTACATTAATCTTTCCCGAATACTTTCCTCCTTTCATCCGGGTTCTTTGTTACCATCAAACCATAAAACTTTGGAGTTGACACGGCTTTCAGTTAGTGCACTGAACGTTTTCTATCCGACCACCGGTTTTACAGACCGTCTGCGAACACTCCCCACCTTCACAAAACGCACAAGATACGATCGAAATAAAGAACGACTGTTGAAAGAACGTGTACAGACTAACTGCGATCTGAGCATAAAAAACGTCGTATACAATTAATTGTGGAAAAACTCAATAGTTTTGTTGTATTATTTTTTGAGAAGGAAAAGTTTGGGAAGAGTGAATCAGGTTGGATTGTTATTCCAGTAAACATCATAGATGTTAGACAGTGTTTGTTGTACGTAATTAAAAAGACGGTAGCGATTTTCGTATATTTAACCATTTGTTAGGTTTGGAAACGCTTTTGTTAGTTCACCAACTCTATTCTCATTCATTTAACAACAACGTTTCGAACAGAACACATCTCAGCAAGTTGATGGATTAAGTGATTTTTAAGTTGAAGGGAAGCTGTATTTGTAAGAAATTAGAATGATGTTGAAGGCGGTGTGAACTCTCACAAACTGTGAATTACTATGACGAATTAATTTTTCTGATTATCTAGGAGATTTTAGTATTTTTGGTTTTTGTGTTCAGAAGAGTTTGAAAACCCTGACGATGTAAGTAATTTTTCTTGATTAATTTTCCTACTCCAAATAAAACCAGGGCCAGTTTCACAAAACAATCTTGAATATAAAACTAACAAAATGTACGCGGTGGCTCTACGAGATAGACACTTGTCCCCTAACCACATGTCGCCTAGTCGTTAGATTGAACAATATAATGAAGCTCACTATGCTAGGCAGAGGGCAAGTTAAAATTTCGCTGTCCTAACACAATTTCTTTCATTGCTCACTGCATGGCGTCGGTCTTCATCAGCCCAGCAAGGAACTCGCCGTTTTCTGCTGATTCGAGTTTTGGATATAAAGATCTTGGTACGACGCCTGCTAAGTGAATGCAAGGTAAAAAGGGGTAAATTCTTTGAGCACATTGAAAGAACTGACAGATTTATAGCATGAATTCAAAAAGAAATAAATGCAGTTTTACGCCCTACTTTTCTCCACCATATTTGATTAATGAAGACGGTAACACCATGAAATGTGAAATGATTTCTAATCTTTATTGTCAGACAAGACGTTTTTTCCATGTCATTTCCTCCGTCATGCATCACTAACAAGGGGAAACAGGGTTGAAAAAATCCGACCTATCTCGACCTTAAGAGGGGAGCAAAGTATTAGTTAAAGATGAAAGAAGATTATCACCTGTATTAAAACATACAGAGAGGGATTGTTCAAACTTTTAAAACCTTGAAATCGTCTAGATAAACTTTTAGTTGAATTCATTAAAACTTTTCCGTGGAATACGGGAATTATAGTTACCGTTTTCTAGTGACTTTAGCATACCAAACTATCGTATCCTGAGTGACTATAGCATACCAAACTATCGTATCCTGAATGACTATAGCATACCAAACTATCGTATCCTGAGTGACTATAGCATACCAAACTATCGTATCCTGAGTGACTATAGCATACCAAACTATCGTATCCTGAATGACTATAGCATACCAAACTATCGTATCCTGAATGACTATAGCATACCAAACTATCGTATCCTGAGTGACTATAGCATACCAAACTATCGTATCCTGAATGACTATAGCATACCAAACTATCGTATCCTGAGTGACTATAGCATACCAAACTATCGTATCCTGAGTGACTATAGCATACCAAACTATCGTATCCTGAATGACTATAGCATACCAAACTATCGTATCCTGAGTGACTATAGCATACCAAACTATCGTATCCTGAGTGACTATAGCATACCAAACTATCGTATCCTGAATGACTATAGCATATTAAATTATCGTATCCTGAGTGACTATAGCATATTAAACTATCGTATCCTGAGTGACTATAGCATACCAAACTATCGTATCCTGAGTGATTATAGCATACCAAACTATCGTATCCTGAATGACTATAGCATATTAAATTATCGTATCCTGAGTGACTATAGCATATTAAACTATCGTATCCTGAGTGACTATAGCATACCAAACTATCGTATCCTGAGTGACTATAGCATACAAAACTATCGTATCCTGAGTGGCTATAGCATGCAAAACTATCGTATCCTGGGTGATTATAGCATACAAAACTATCGTGTCCATCACGCTAGAAGATTGCTTGGTATAATGACAGTTTTCTGTGATCAGAATGAGACTAGAGCATACCAAACTATCGTGTCTAACTAGCTAGTAGATTGTTTGGTACAATGAAAGTTTTCTGTGGTCAGAATGAGACTAGAGTATACCAAACTATCGTGTCTAACTAGCTAGCAGATTGTTTGGTATAATGACAGTTTTCTGTGGTCAGAATGAGACTAGAGCATACCAAACTATCGTGTCTAACTAGCTAGCAGATTGTTTGGTATAATGACAGTTTTCTGTGGTCAGAATGAGACTAGAGCATACCAAACTATCGTGTCTAACTAGCTAGTAGATTGTTTGGTACAATGACAGTTTTCTGTGGTCAGAATGAGACTAGAGTATACCAAACTATCGTGTCTAACTAGCTAACAGATTGCTTGGTATAATGACAGTTTTCTGTGGTCAGAATGAGACTAGAGCATACCAAACTATCGTGTCTAACTAGCTAGTAGATTGTTTGGTACAATGACAGTTTTCTGTGGTCAGAATGAGTCTAGAACATACCAAACTATCGTGTCTAACTAGCTAGCAGATTGATTGGTACAATGACAGTTTTCTGTGGTCAGAATGAGTCTAGAACATACCAAACTATCGTGTCTAACTAGCTAGCAGATTGATTGGTACAATGACAGTTTTCTATGGTCAGAATGAGACAAGACCATACCAAACTATCGTGTCTAACTAGCTAACAGATTGCTTGGTATAATGACAGTTTTCTGTAGTCATAATGGGACTAGAGTATACCAAACTATCCTGTCCAACTAGCTAGCAGATTGTTTGGTGTAATGACAGTTTTCTGTGGTCAGAATGAGACTAGAGTATACCAAACTATCCTGTCCAACTAGCTAGCAGATTGCTTGGTATAATGACAGTTTTCTGTAGTCAGAATGGGACTAGAGTATACCAAACTATCCTGTCCAACTAGCTAGCAGATTGTTTGGTACAATGATAGTTTCTGTGGTTAGAATGAGACTAGAGTATACCAAACTATCGTGTCTAACTAGCTAGCAGATTGGTTGGTACAATGACAGTTTTCTATGGTCAGAATGAGACAAGACCATACCAAACTATCGTGTCTAACTAGCTAGCAGATTGCTTGGTATAATGACAGTTTTCTGTAGTCAGAATGGGACTAGAGTATACCAAACTATCGTGTCCAACTAGCTAGCAGATTGTTTGGTGTAATGACAGTTTTCTGTGGTCAGAATGAGGCTAGAGTATACCACACTATCGTGTCCATCACGCTAGAAGATTGCTTGGTATAATGACAGTTTTCTGTGGTCAGAATGAGGCTAGAGCATACCAAACTATCGTGTCTAACTAGCTAGAAGATTGCTTGGTATAATGACAGTTTTCTGTGGTCAGAATGAGACTAGAGTATACCACACTATCGTGTCTAACTAGCTAGTAGATTGCTTGGTACAGTGACAGTTTTCTGTGGTCAGAATGAGACTAGAGCATACCAAACTATCGTGTCCATTACGCTAGAAGATTGCTTGGTCTAATGGCAGTTTTCTGTAGTCAGAATGAGACTAGAGCATACCAAACTATCATGTCAAACTAGCTAACAGATAGTTTGGTACAATGACAGTTTTCTGTGGTCAGAATGAGACTAGAGTATACCAAACTATCGTGTCCATCACGCTAGAAGATTGCTTGATATAATGACAGTTTTCTGTAGTCAGAATGAGACTAGAGCATACCAAACTATCATGTCAAACTAGCTAACAGATAGTTTGGTACAATGACAGTTTTCTGTGGTCAGAATGAGACTAGAGTATACCAAACTATCGTGTCCATCACGCTAGAAGATTGCTTGGTATAATGACAGTTTTCTGTGGTCAGAATGAGACTAGAGTATACCACACTATCGTGTCTAACTAGCTAGCAGATTGCTTGGTACAATGACAGTTTTCTGTAGTCAGAATGAGACTAGAGTATACCAAACTATCGTGTCTAACTAGCTAGTAGATTGCTTGGTACAGTGACAGTTTCCTGTGGTCAGAATGAGACTAGAGCATACCAAACTATCGTGTCCATCACCCTAGAAGATTGCTTGGTATAATGACAGTTTTCTGTAGTCAGAATGAGACTAGAGTATACCACACTATCGTGTCTAACTAGCTAACAGATTATTTGGTACAATGACAGTTTTCTGTGGATAAAATGAGACTAGACTATACCAAACTATCATGTCTAACTAGCTAGCAGATTGTTTGGTACAACGACATAATAATCAAACGAATTTTATGCGAAAAATAAAGGAAAAACAGACAGATTTACTTTGAAAAGTAGAAAAGGCATTGTTATTAGAAGTTGTTAGGGTAGACTGTTTTACTGTACAGTTGATTGAGTTGATGACGTTACGGAACGCAGACGGTAACGAGTAAACTAATAACATATCTCACGTAATCTCTACAAGGTAAAGAAAAAAGAATTGACGATTTCTTGGTAATTTGTGTTATATTTGGCAATGGTTGTTAATTTGAGATAAGAATTTGTAGAAGAAATGTAAGGACGATAGAAACTGTATTTCTGTGGGTCAAACTCTGTTGATATAAACCTATCAATATTGGCACGGAGGTTGTCGCACTATTGATGTTTTGTGGACATTGTTGTTTGTTACTCTATTTATTTGTTTACTTTGGATACCATGTTGTTTAACTTGGAGACGTGTTTATTTACCCGATAAAACAGCAAGTTGGTGTTTATTGGACGCCAGTGTCTATCGGTATGACCAGCTCGTCGCTTTATCAACTTCCCCTGTTTGGCTAGCAGGACGTTTTTATCGATTGGTACAGAAAAAGTGGTTTGGCCAACCAACCCTGCCCAGGGGAGTTGTTCAAATTTTCTTCAGTTTGGTAGAGTTTAACTTTG